GAAACCTGAAAACTGGTCTGCTAATAACTGTAGCTCAAAGAAAAGACATAGCAATGGTTATCAGTTTCTTTTTCAGCAAAATAGAGTGGTGGCACAGTCCCTGAAAATTTTAAAGAAAAGTACACAGGATTGGGATTTAGTATCTTCTTGGCAGGTGAAATTTATTTACAATTTGGAGAGCAAGAGAAAATAGTGAAGCCTATAATAAACAATATTACAATTTCATTATAAGATTAATCTTACATCTGTGTTGAGGATAAATTAGAATAAGGAGAGTACTTGATAGAATGTGCCTAGAGAGAGATTCTGAAGACACAGAATGGTGAAGCAGGCAGTGAGAAATTACATAAAGTCTGCATCAAATAAGCTGTATTTATGCTAAACGTTACCAGTTTGAATGTGAAAATAGAGAGAAAGGCCACAGCGGACATTGACCAATGAGGCTTGGTTGGCTGAACAAAAGGTGGCATCACAAAGGGAGATCAGAAATGTTCAGTTTTCAGCTTTGATCAAATAGAAATTAAAACAGAAAGACATGTTGCCAGAGGTCTGAGGAAGGCATAGTCAGGTTTCTTCAATGAAAGCATATGGCTTTAATTACTTTACATCTTTCATGATCAGAAATAATGTCACTCATCAAAACAGAATGAGATTACTAATAAAAGAAACTAATTAATTTGGTTTTAGACTTGCTGAATTGGGGGAACTGAAGGGCATGTGGATAATTTTGGTAGGACGACATGGCTAGAAATGCTTCATGAGAGTATATGCCCTTCAACAGCGTGCTGTATTTATTTTCATATGTCATAGTGTTGATAAATACTAACTCAGCAAATACAGAATGAACAAATAAATGCATAATTATATGGAAATTAGTTTTGGCTAATGGGTTTCTTTTCTGTTTAACAAAACAACAGTGAGTAAGGAAACAGACAAGTTACTGTAGATTGTAGATGATTTTGCCATTTTTTAATTCTCCTAAATTGTCACAGATTAATGATTATTAGTTATCTTAAAGTTTAATGGCATGTAACACTATTTGTTATTAATATTAAAGTATTTAGTATTAAATTTGATTTCTAAAATAAAAATTGGATTCCTAAAGTTGTCAGAATAAGTAATTATATAATGTCATAAACAGGAGAATTTTATAAAGCATGTAAATTATACAGAAGGGATATTTTATTGTGCCTCTGTCTAATAAGGTAAGATTTTAATGTTTATTACTTTTTAATCTTTTCTTCAAAATGTCTCATTCTGTCTCTGTTGACCTGCAGGAAAGACATGGCAGGTTAATACATTTGTTTACTCCATAATTTTATGTAACTGTTTTGTTATTCATCTAATCATGATTTTGTAATCCTTAGTACTTTTGCCTTAAGCAGTTTTGCTAAAAGGGAAATTTTAAAGTTAACCATATTTTTTTGCTTATTCAGTTTAATCCCCAGGGTAATGACCATTGCCTTACAATATATGTCATAAATTAAATGTTCTTAGTGCACTTTGTTGGATAAAGAGAGGTATGTGAGTGGTATTGGCTAGTTCTTTGGCAAAAAATATTTCCCCTTTTCTGATAAGTGTCCCCAGAATAGAGATGGGCCCAATATACTGGGCCTGTGCACATGACTTGATTGGTTAATACTAGACAATTAGGTATGTGACCCAAGCAGAGCTAAAGAGATGCTCTCTTGTAAATTTGTTTGAGTTCTTTGTAGGTTCTGGATATTAGCCCTTTGTCAGATGAGTAGATTGCAAAATTTTTCTCCCATTCTGTAGGTTGCCTGTTCACTCTGATGGTAGTTTCTTTTGCTGTGCAGAAGCTCTTTAGTTTAAT